GATTATCTCTTTTGTCATACTGTTACCAGTATTCTGGTCACTGTGGAGACTATAACATAGATAGGCCTAAATGTCTAATGTAGAAAGCAGAGAAAAAAAATGGCTTTTGTGTCTTCTTTACACATTCTAAAAGAGCAGAGAATGGGTAAAATTCCAGCTTTGAAAAAAGAACATGTTGGGTTGCTTTTGGGATCACAGACTTCTTAAAATCAGACGGTATCATTGGTTGTTTTAAAGATACAAGTATTTTATTCCAGGTGTTTTGGCTGCAAAGTCAGAAGCTTGATTCTCATAATAGTGAGGGGTTTTTGCTGCAGATGCAGCCTCCTTGCATACCATATGGTGGTAATTAACAGTTTCAGACTTAGTTCTGAGTTTTCTTCTGCTTCGATTATTGGTTGGTTTGGGACAAAATTTTATTGTCACAGAAACCGAGTTTTCTGTCTGGGTTTAACTGCAGAGAGGAGTAATGTGCATGTCTTGATGAGGCAGGAGAAGATGAGATCTATTTAGAACACTAAGAGATAACATTAAAAAACACCAAGTACAACCTGTTTCTTTTCATTAAGCATTTTACCATCCCTCTGTAGAACTGAAATAGGTCATGATTGGACCCTGGAAATGGAGAGAGACAATTTGAAAGACACAGTTGGAATGAACAGTTTCCTTTAACAACAAAATGTTTGCACTTTTTATGAGAGCAAGGGTAACATTGTGTAATCTTGAAAAAAGATACTGCTCTGTGAGGATAAGTCCATTGTCCAGTGACGTGACTTTTCCTGTCAATCACAAAGGTGACAAGGGGGCTAGATTAAGTAAAGCTTGCCCAAGATTAACAAAGGAAGATTATTGACCTCATCCTGAAAGGGCAGAAGCCTGTTTTATCATTAAACCTTGGAAGAGGTATTTCCTTCATAGGTGGAAAGCTGTTTGGCAATATAGAGGCAACTTTCTTGTAAATGAACAAGTCTTCCTGTGGATTCTAGCTTGGAACAGAAGCAGAAGACACAAAACTTGGGCCAGTCTTTCTTTGGTGCTGTTGTTGGCAGAGGTGGGGGGAGAAGGGCCTAGAGGGTTTGACTCAGCGCGATCGGTGTAGGTTCTTGCCTGTCTTTCCGAAGCGGGAAAAGCAAGAAGCAGCAGCATCAGGTGTTGGTGAGTACAATCCCAGCTCAGAGTTCGATGAAATGTTGTGCCAGCACACATTAGCAGAGCAATCCGCAATGCAAATGAACAATAGAGCCCCATCCACAAAGCAGCTGCTAACTGCATAAAACTGTTACCAGGATTAACAATGCCAGAGGCTGGAATGTAATCAAACTTGAACAGGTGAAATGGTTACACAGCTGAGAGAGACTGTTCTCTGGTACAGGGTGTCTCTTTTTCCACTGTTTGGTGGCTGAGAGATAGGTCTTGTGAGTAGCGTGATTGACTTCATTTTAAAACGTCGGTACTGGGTATTTGGGTTCTTTAATACCACTCTTTACAGTTTCGTTGCTTTTCTCAGTAAAGTGAATAAAGCCATATGAATTTGTCAGAAAAGGTAAATCTTACTTGTTGGGAGGGAACTTCTTTCTCAAGGTTTTAATTTTAAACTCTTGCTGACATATCTTTTTTGACATCAAGGATTTTTCTGAATGTTTTCAGGGGGATAGTTAAGCTCTCATATATAATATTGGAGCATTTTCCTTGCTAGAAGATTTTTAGCTTTGTACAACTATTGACACACATAGGTTCTATGTGGAAGTGTCCTTTCTTTTTTACATGGTAAAAGTAAAAATCCAGACCCACTGAAAGGTCTTTTTCACTTTCCCCAGTAATGGCATAAGAAAGAGCAAACTAAAACAGGGATGTAAAGTGAAAACCCAGATAACAGTTGAGCATTTCAGGTAGTTGTTCTGAATGGCAGAAAAAAAAGATCATGAACAAGTGGGGAAGACAGATTCTTGAGCTGGTGTGCTAGAGGATACGTGTTGAACTCTTGTCAACAGCAGTAGCTGATGTGTGCTCTCATCTGCTGGTACAGAAAGGAGAGGATTCCTCTTAGATTGCAAATCACGCAGTGAATGTGTGATTGCTACAGATCTTTTTGAATGAATAATTCACTGGTGTACTGTAATTTAGCCTACTGAGATGTGATTGCAGCTGTTCCCCTACTGTATATGTGTTTTGATTAAGCGAAGTGTTTCTTAAACCCAGTAAGTGTATAAATAGCCCATGTATGTGATATGCAAACACTGCATATATGCACTCCTAACAAGAGCAGTCTAAGGAACATTTTGTTTTCGGGATGATTACTTACATGGGTATTTTAATATATAGTTTATCTTTTAAAAGATTCTGTGTATAACACTTCCCTTTCCTTTTCTGTCCAGCTATGATTTTTTCTTGTTTATGATCCTACAACAAATAATTTTAGTCAGTATTGTAGTATCAGCATATCTTTGTGTTACTAATGAGTTTATCGTTCCAAGACCTTTACAATATAAGAAATTATATCTTTTTTTGCCTGTTTACAGGTAGGAAACTGAAATGCAGAAACAAAAGGAAAACCAAGTTTTCCATGGTTACAGAGAACATTTAAAAGAAGTAGAAATTGAGTATCCAGAGTCCTTTCATGATGCTTTACCAATAAACTACTCTGTTATCCTCACTCCCTTACAATTTCTTTTCCCCAGAAAGAGAATGCCAAGCAATTTGTGATCTTGAAAATCACCTTATAGTGCTTTACTTAAAATTCAATCCTTGTGTTCTTTTATTTATTCTCTTATAACAAACTTGTTTTATACTCAGAATGTATTTTTACATACAAAAACACCCGCATGTACCCAAAACGTACAGCAGCAGTGATTCTTGAGGTTTAGGCAGCTGTTCCAAGTACTTTGTGTCTGTAACCAATGTGTGACACAGAAACACGAGTGTCTTTGGGGCCCCCTTTGGAATAAAACCAAGAAACTTGTTCCTGGTAAAATTTGGAGCAATACTGTTCCAATACATAATTGATGGTATAGGTGGATTTAAGAACTGTAACTAAGGGTAATATTTGGTTTATCTCTCTTCAAAGTGTGAATAAGCAAGCAGCTTTCAAGGTATTTCTTCTTTTGGCCTTGTGCATAGGAAAAAAATACCACTTGGTGATAATTGGTTTGAATGTTTGACAAAATCTGAACTGATACTGAAATTAACTAATTTGGTTGTCTAGGTCAGTGCTAAAAACCAGTTTATTCAAGCCTACATATGTAGAAAAAATTACATTCAGCTCCACCTCATTTTTTAAGCCCACTGTTCGCAGCTAGTAATTTTCCAAGTGCAGAACAAAAATTGAAGGAATTGCAAAAGGAAAAAAGGAGCATTTCTGTTGACTAGAGTTGGAAATTTTTTTAGGGCTTGGTCAAAAGCTCATTGACGTCAGTAGAAAGTCTCTCATTAACATCACTGGGCTTGGCTTTTGGGGCATATGATGGCCCAGATTGTAATCTCAGCTAAATCCGATTCTGTTAGGGAATTTATTCACTAGTATAACACATTCAAGCTGCTCAAAACTATTTGCACTAAAAGTTTTCTTAACCAATCGTAATCTTTTTGCCCAAGTGAAGTAGTCTGTGAAAACAGATACATTCTTTTCTTCATAATTTCATGATACTTTATTCAAATTTTATTGAGACCATTTTTGGCAATTATGTTTTATTTATGAAAAGGCACTTTTTTTTTTTTTTTTCCCTGAAATATTTGGATTAATTAAACCAGAGACACCAAAAATTACCCTGGGAAAAAAATGATAAAATTGTAACACAAATCACTAAAACAATATATGTGCTGCTTTCATACCCAATAAAATTATAACAATTAGAAATTATTAAGACTTTTTCAGCAAAGTTTGTAACTCAGATCCCATTATGGTCCAGTGACTTTTTTAGAAATGATACATATTAAAAAACGGAATGCAAAAATTTAAGAAAATAGGATAATGAAAGCTCTGGAGAATCTGATCAAAATAAAAACTGTTGATGCTTGCAGCATTATATCATTCAGTCTGTGTACTCAGCAGCAAGCTTTGTTTGTAGACACTAGCCTAAGTTTTGCAAGGTATCGATGGCCAATGTTAGCAGAGAAAAAAATGAAAGGTTTCAAAGATATGTACAGAAGGGTAGAGTTTAGAGACATGAAAGGGGAAAGGAATATATACAGAAAACGTTGCTTTATGTTGGAGGAGGCATGGAGGAGAAGGCTCTCACATTAATAAAGGCAAGTTTGAAGATACTGGAAACAGTTTTGGTTTCCATTAAAATTAATGAGTAGACCTCTGTGGACTCTCACGTGAGGAGGATTGTTTGTATGTTCCAGGAAGTTACAGAGTTTTGCCATTGTGCCACTAGTGACAGTCATTAGGACTACCTTTGTGAAAAATATTATCTCAACAAGAAATAAAGGTATGAGATAGAAGAGGAGAACAGAAAGAGAATTAGGAGAACAGAAAACAATTACCATATCACTCATAGGTGGGAGATCTAATTGAACTCCGAGTTAAAATAAGTCCTATGGTGAAGGGCATTTAATATTTTGTTACCATTTCATTTCTTACAACAACTAGCCATCACAGCATTAAGCACTTTATAATGTCAGAAAATTAATCGTCCTTGTAAAAACTGAAGATTTTTTTTTCAAAAGAAAGCTGTAAAAGAACAAACAATTAAAGGTAATCAATATCATTGTTATTCGGAAACCTGCGAATACAACACTTCTCAGTTAGGGAAAAACTATTTTGTGTTTCTTTCTTGCAAGATGATCTTTGTTCACTTCAGCCTGTAATCTTGGTTTGTGCTTTATGGATAGGCTTTGTTCTGGGTGTTTTTGAAGCATTGCATGCCTTTTTAAAGATTTCAACAGAAGAACAAACAGCAACGAACTCGAAGAACAAAGGATTCTTCTTTCTTTCCATCTTTTTTTTTCTTCTTTAAGAAAAGAAAGAAATGTTTCATCTCAGTTTTCTCCCCTTCCAGGAAGTTGATGGCAATAAAGTGATGTCTTCATTTGCCCCGCACAACTCATCTACCTCACCCTTGAAGGCAGAAGAAGGTGGGCGTCAGAGTGGAGAATCATTGTCCAGCACAGCCCTGGGAACCCCTGAAAGGCGCAAAGGGAGCCTAGCGGATGTTGTAGACACCCTTAAGCAAAGAAAAATGGAAGAGCTCATCAAAAATGAGCCAGAAGGTAAGGCCTGGGAAACTGGCCAAAATTTTCTGTTTCGTTTTATTTTCTCCAGATTCTTTGGATATGTATACTTTTTAATCTTCTCATTTTCTGCTCCATTTGCTTTTTCTTGCTAGCAAAATGGAAGTAAAGAACTCATAGTTCTTGTCTACATTAGGGATGAATTTCAACAATATCCTGTCATAGCTAAGATTTTTAGCTTTTCCCAAATGAGAGCCTTTGTCTGACATAACCATCTTTGTCACAGTTGCAATAGACACAGCAACCTCCTCAACATGGGTACAATGAACACTGTCATTTTACCAGCCTGGGGGTCATTTACACCACTACTTTCCCCTCCCCCATTTCCAGAGCAAAAAGCAGTGTTATCAGAAAAGTCAATGTTTTTGCAAAATTATCTAGTAGGCATGTCATTATTTAAAAGGTAAGAAGTTAAATTTGGAATTCATGAAAACTTTTGTCGGAAGCACGTCCTACATTGTCATCCTGTATTTATTGGTAGTGCAGGTACTATACAGACACAGTGCAGGCTTTCTCTGCATTATGTCTGGGCAGCAAGTTTCAGCCTTGGCTTATAGGTATGATCTAATGAGAATCAGATTCTTTTTGAGAATGTATGTCCAGTCAGTGACAGTGCCACTTGTGCTCTGTGGGCTGAGACTAATACTGAACATCTCACTTCTGAGAAGCCACCTAACAGCTTTCCTTTAAGTAAGATTTTCAATTCCTATCTATTTGGGGCAGAGTCAAATCCCTAACTGGAAGATGAAGTTCTCACTATATTCTCCATAGGTATCCAACATGCGTACTTGCATCTAGATGTCTAGGAGACTATGATCCAGTTATGTGAACATACTGAACCTTATTCCCTAATGCACACTAATAAGACTTCATTTTCATTTAGACCCACCTATCCTGTTGTAGAAATCTATTTCAAATGTTTAAAAGCATGACCCTCAGCACCCACCTCAATGTTGAAGCATGAATTGACAAACACCTGCAAGAAAATTTTAGGACAACCTGCATACTGGAGTGAAAATATGAGTACAAACACAGCCACATGTGTCACATACATGACAGGATTGCAAATCAAACAAATTCTTTGTCTAAGCATTTTTGATTAATATATAGGTATAATCATAGCGTTTCGTTTTGCATTTACGTTGACTTAACGGTCAGTGCCATGACCTACCTTGAGCCTTTGAATGGAAGACATCTTTCATGTGTATGCTATGGGGCAGGGGAGGGGAAGGGGACCAGACTTTATTATAAGAGAGAGACGAAAGAGCAGGGGCTTCTGTGCAATGTATAAACACTCTTCTTGAGTATGAGGTTGTACAAGCTGCCCAGATTCCATTAAGGAGAGGCCTCAGATAGACATGAGAATGGTTACAGAGCCTGTGCATTATCTCAGCTCTACTAAAATAAAAATATACAGTACAAACAAAAGATCTACAGCTTTGTGAAGAGATTGGGAGAGAAAGGAGGGGGAGCAACTGAATGTTGGGCTTTGCAAATGCATGCAACAGAAAATCTTTTCTTCCCTCTAGCCATTGTTCTATTGTCTTTCAAAGGCCATTAAAATGAACAGCAGGTTGTGATGAAAATTTCATTAAGCCCTAGTTAAATCATTATGAGGGTGCCATATTCATGTCTCTGCTTACTCCCCATCCAGGAAAAAGATTCCATTAAGGAGAGGCCTCAGATAGACATGAGAATGGTTACAGAGCCTGTGCATTATCTCAGCTCTACTAAAATAAAAATATACAGTACAAACAAAAGATCTACAGCTTTGTGAAGAGATTGGGAGAGAAAGGAGGGGGAGCAACTGAATGTTGGGCTTTGCAAATGCATGCAACAGAAAATCTTTTCTTCCCTCTAGCCATTGTTCTATTGTCTTTCAAAGGCCATTAAAATGAACAGCAGGTTGTGATGAAAATTTCATTAAGCCCTAGTTAAATCATTATGAGGGTGCCATATTCATGTCTCTGCTTACTCCCCATCCAGGAAAAAATGAATAGGAAAGGGTTGGGTTTTTTTTTCCCCATTCTCCTAAAAAGCGAACTAACAAAAGTTCAGAAGTTAGAAGAGAATGGAAAATGGGACATGAAACAAAAGGAGGCCAGAGAGGTGAGCTTGCTAGGAGGAAAATTAGACTTGCATAGGAGCATTGAAAGGTGGTGAGGGACAAATACATCATTTTGACAAGTCTCCCTCCCCCTTCCCTTCAGCCAACATGATTGTTTTTAGAGTGGCTAATTAAAAAATATATATTTCTGGATGCAGATGGCAAAACTGTTCTTAGAGATCTTCCACAAATAGGAGTCTTTTTTTCCCTAAAAGATGTATGTATTAGTGCAAGTACAATGTCTTCTCTGTTTGAACTCCAGCAGAAAATCGACTTATTGTCACATTGTCTTCATGTAGTGCTAAAGTAAAGTTGTCAGTCATCACTGGTTACTAGTCAGTTAATTAGCATATTAATGAATTTCCCCGTGAATAAGATAAGTTACAAGTGGGAATCTTAGGTAGTACATGTGGGTAGCAGCTCAACAATGCATGATCACTGTGTATTGCAGTAATAATTTTTAGTCTTGCTAGTTTGTGGAGCTTTGTAGAAGACCAAGAATCTTGCTTAAGCTTTGCTGCATTATGTCAACAACAATAATATAATACTTTATTTCTCTTTGGGAAGAAAGGGAAACATTAGCACCAGTAGCTGAGGTCTAAATAAATCAATTTCCTGTGAATTTCTCGAAGTCCAGATATGAGCCAGATTCCCATTTCTCTATGTAGTCAGAACTTTATATATTATTTAACCTGTACAATGGGCTATGTTTGTTCTGTTTTTATTGTTTGAAATTGTCTTCTGAATTACTGTGGGAAATGTACTTTTGAAGCACTCTTTTCAATGGTCTCTTTCTTCAAAACTGGAAGAAGGGAAGGTCTGGATAGACAGCTTTAGGTCTTGATGCAAACCTTGTATCAGTCAGGGAAAGGACCTCTTGTTTCTTAAATGGGTTTTGAGGACAAATGAGATAATCCAAAGTATTGATAATAGGTCTGACTGTTTTAAATAAACTTTCTTGATATACAGTAAATTATTTTCTTACATTTGTTAGAAAGCAATAGTTAATACTTAGTAAATTTTGCCAGTAAACAACAAGGATTTTTACAGTGTTACGAAGCATACTGCTCAGAGTGCACAAATGTGCACATGTATGTGTGCATAAATGTAAGCACATACGTGTGCCCACACGTGAGTGGCACAGGAAGCATCATATAAATTGTTTCAGTGTTGGTTTGTTTTCTATATGCCCTTGGTTAATCTTCCCTGTAGGAAGCCATGCTGCCTACTCAACTTCCTTTTTCTCCTTGCATATGTGTATGGTTTTGTTTTTTGTTGGGGTGTATACTTGGCTCTAAAGCCTCATGCTCTTCCCCCCCTCCTTGTAAACTTGCCATTTTACTCTTGCTATATGGAAGTATGTGACTGACAATGAGTCATGCTGACGCAGAGATGTGGAGTGTTTCAGTGAATATAAAACTTGTGGAATTTTACTCCATGCTAATACAGTGGCCATTTTTCTTCTTTCAAATTCTGTAGAAATTTCTCATATGTAGCTTTAGTATTAGGCCCCCAAAGGCACAAACCTATTACTGAAGTCACACAATGTTATTTTACATGAAACATTCTGTCCTTTCTAACTTGAACTGCAGAAGAGGAGTCAGTCCCCTTTTATTCCTGGTGTACGATAATGAAGATAATGGAGTGGGTTTGGAGAAGCCTTATATACTGTGACAGACCTCAAGCCCTTGCCCTGAGGGTCGTCTGCCAACCATGGGATTCCTTTTGCAGCTAAAATCATTAGGCGAATGAGATACAGGCATGTTTTTCTTCTGTTTTCTTAAGGCATCAGAGGATGGCAGAGACTCTCTGTCTGTCTGTTCTGTTCATTTGTAGAAATGAAATGGAAATCTCTTTGAAGTCACTGAGCTTGACACAAGTTCATGAAAGCAAAGACCAAAGCAGCCACTTAGCTTTTTCTTGCGCTGTTAATGAGATTGGATTGCTGTATTTTAATTTATGTGCCATGCTTGTGGAAAATTAAATCTCTGGAATCTGTGTAGCCTTTTCCTCTAAACGTATGGCTTGGCTTCTGGAAAAAAAGTAGGAAGCAAGTTAATTCTCCTATTTTTTTTTGAGTAAGCCAGAGTACTCACCACCTCTTTACATCTTCTAACTTTTAATTAAGAATCAATCTTCTTTTTCCATTTTGGCAGTACATATTTTTAACAGGTTATATATCTCTCTGTTTATCTTTAAAACTTATGTACTGTATCTTCTGAGGCAACATCTACCTTATTGTACAGAATTTGTAGGAATAAAAGGGATCTACCTGATCACAGAGACCATACATATGGGCGTGTAGGAAATTAATTCATCTGCATGGCTCATTCTGTAATAAGGACCTCTGAAACTGCATTTGGTTTGGCTGCTTAAATGAATTCTTTGAATATTTTATAAATACATGTACACAGATACACATATGTATATAAAATGTATGTATTATATATATTCAGGCACACACACATACAAGAATTGTGTATATGTAGTGCTTAATATTGCTCCTACTCCAAAATTTTGATCTACTAGTCCTTAGGTCTTCTGAGCAGGAACAATTAATCCCAAGTGTTTAGTAAGCAGGTAACATATATGTTTGCAGGGCTTTAAGAGGCAATTTAAGTATTAGAGTGTCATGTATTATAGTATGCTGCAATGCTAGAAGTAATTATTGTGTCGTAAAGAAAAGGAGGATAAAGGCCTCTCGGGCATGATTTTTGTCTTCTGAACATCCCCCAAAGGGTATTTGTGTTTGATGTTTAAGTTTCCATTATAAATCACAACACCTGTTCTTGTGGTAATTTAAATGGCTGTTGTTTAAGCAGTTCTGTAGTCTATAAAAGTGAACCATGTTGAATTCAGGCTTTCTAGTTGA